AGGGGGCTCTGATATGAGCAGCTGTGTGTGAACTGGACAGGGGGCTCAGATATGAGCAGGACCAGCTCTGACAGAGGAAAAGTTCCTCTCCTTTCCATCTCCACGGCACAGACAGATGCCTGCGTTCACTGATGACTGACTGCTGTTAGGGGCTGGTGGGGGCAGATGACGGGCAGATGATGGATAAAGTCACCCTGTGATGTGCTTTTGGTTTTGCTTTAACGCTGATACACTGAGTATCTGACCATCTAAAGTTCAGTCAGAAGTTTAGGCCCTTCTTAGGAGGGAGCAGCTTACATAACCCTCACTTAGAATGGGAAGTCGCCCAATCCCCTTTCCTCCAGCACAATACTCCAAATCCATCCGTCCTGCTTCTCTAATACTCATTTCCAATTGGGTTGGGGGGGGGGGGGCTGGAGGAAGAGCCAGCATCTGATACATATGAAGGAAGGTAAGTAAATGTGGCATAGTAGTAGAGTAAGGCATGGTTGTTTTTCTTTTTGGCTTTTTAAATAAATCTTTTGTCCTCTTAGTGAATTTGTACACAGGTCTGAGCCTAGAAAAACCCACTCTCTGATCTCTGTGGGACTTCCTGAGCGAACACACGGAGCAAAACGTCTGATATTTCACAAACAACAAAAGGAAACCCACAAGACTGATCAGAGCACGCTGCTAACCCTAACCCTAACCCTAACCCTGGGACCAGCAGCCTGCAGCTCCGCCCCCCCCTGAGTGGACACATGCAGATGGACTGTCTGACACTGGCTGCTGCCGGGTGGGCAGCCCCCCCCCACAGAGGAGCATTTGTTTGTGTCCAGATCCCTCCAGAGTGGAGTGTAAACTTAAGCACGGCGGTGGCAGCTTGATGCTGCGCTCTGGCCTTTTATGGTCGGCTCTCAGGGCTCCGGAGGCCGACAGGAGCAGGGAGCTCCGGGGTGTGTGTGTGTGTGTGTGCACGTGGGCGTGCACGCGCAGGTGTGTGCGCTTTGGCACCGCCACAGTGGAGCTGTTTTTTAGCGTTTGGCTCCACACAGCAAAGGGTGGTCTGACTCTGCTACTAGAACTAGAGACTGTTAACAAACAGTAAATCCTGTGAGGACTCACACCTCAGCTCACACGGCCTGATTCATTATAAGCAGCCACTCCAAAGCTTTGTGATCAGCTTTACTCATCCTTCCCACACCGTATCTGTCACTCTGTGCTTCCCATCTCAAATAAAGACTATGAAGACAATGAGGACTACTCTCTAGTGGAATAGTGGTCCTCAGAGACGCCACTTTGCACATCTTCCAACCAACTTTCAGGCATTTTAGAGACGTACAGAACTTTGGCATGACAACATTATGAAGCCCGACTAGAAAAACTAGAAAGAGCTCACAGGATTTGTCTGAGTTAGTCAGCATCATGCCTTTTCTCAGCTCTGATACCAGTAAACTGAACTAAAATAAATCTATTCTGACCCCTGTCTCCTCTATCACAAGTTAGTCTATTACAAGTGAAAATGTTTTTACATTTATCTGCCGCTGGCAGAAAAAGCCATATGTGACGCGGCAGGAAATGAAGGCACGTGTTTACCACAACGGTTGCTGCACACATGTTTGCAGACTACATGACAATCACAAGAGGAACTCGAGCATCATGTGAAAAGGTCATTTGAACCCAATCAGATGAGAGACCGAAAGCAACCGTCCTTATACATTTAAAAAATGATCATCTTTTAAAAGAATCGCTCACATTTGGCTCCTGGTGGCCACACAGCACCAACAGGATGGAGGATGAACGACAGAGAGAAAGCAGAACACAGACTCTGTTAGATGTGAGGCTGAGGAACACATCAAAACAGCCTGGGCTTTGATCAGAAAAGCGCTTTCAGAGCCAAGCCGCACAGACGCGAGCAAACTGGAGCGAAATGGAAGGTTCTGTGCATGAGAACATGAAGCATGAAGCATGAATAAGTTGTTGGAAGTTCTGCATGCTTCAGAAAAATGTCAAAGGTTAAAAAAGCATATTTTCTCTGAAATCAAAAGCCTTCTCCGTTAAAATAAGCATGCACTGTGGGTCCTGTTGCACTTTGCACAGAGCAACAGGTCCAAAATGACTCACTGAGCTCCGGCCTAATTCTCACACATGCAGCCCCAACCATCCACCACCACAAACCCCAATGGTTTCCAACATGTGAAGAGACCTGAAGAGCTCTAGTCCCTTATCTGTCTCATCTAGCAGCGCCCGTCCTGTCTGCAGACTCTGCTGAAACGAGACCAGTTACTGTAGCACCAATCAGGATTACCTCTCTTGAAGGACCATCTCTTCATCCAGAGCTTGGAGAAGGACGGCCAGGAGTGATTGAGGGGGGAGTCAGCCATGGGAGCAGCACAGTGGGGAGGCCAGCCTGAACTGGAGCTCACTCCGGCTCTACCTCCACTACCCAGAGGAGGAGGGGGGGGGAGGAGGGGCGAGAGACAGCTGGATGGGGATTACCTCCAGCTGGAGGGAAAAAGCAGGAAGTGAAAACAAATGACAGCCAAGGGGGGGGGGGAGAAAAGAGAAAGAGACAGAAGAGATGAAGGGGCACAAAGAGAGAGGAGTCAGCACATCTGTGTAACGTTCTCCTCTGTGAGGGTCAGAATAAAGTCCACTTCCTGCCACCCGGCTCACAGGTTCTCCTCCATTTGTGGAAGGACAGAATGATTTATCCTAAAGCTAGATAGAGACTCAGAAGTGGATTTTTATCTCACATCCAAAATCTTTTTCACCGGTAAAAACTAAACAAGTTTTCTTGATTCTGACAACCTTTGAAGTGGTTCAGGACAATAGAAAAGAAACAGAACAAGAGAATGAAGTTTGTACGCTGAGAAAACCGGACCAGTTTCAGCTCTGCTGTAGAGGCTGAACCACGTCTCTCTGCAAATGAACACACACTCCAACTACACTGCACCAGAAGCTGCTGAAAAAGGGAAGAAACAAAGTCGGACTAGCAGCCCTGCTGCACACCGACAGTCCAGCACTCAACAGATCTAGAGCACAACTCTCTTCTTTTGACAGAGCAGAGCAGCAGAAACAGGCTGAGAGGGGCCAGAGAGACCCCCCCTGACTACTTACATTTGTGGGACAGCCTGTAGATCCCGGGGTGCTGGAGCTGTGCTGTGGGGGCCCTCCGCTCTGTGAGTGAGCGCAGGCACCCGGCTGCTTCCTCTTTAGTGCAGCTCCACGCGCACACATGACAGCGTGTGTGACACACGCTGAGCTACCTGTGGGCAAGGTAAAGGGGGCAGAAAGGCCACAGCCAATGAGTGACAGATCCACAATAAACCCGCTTTGTGACCTCACAGTCTCTCCCCCCATAAACTCAGGTGGCGGGTTAATGGTTCAGCATCAGGTGCACGGCTCTCTTCCTGCTGTCGGAGGCCTGTTTGTGGCTTCGTGCACCCGTGCACGCTCTTGAGAAACAGCTCTGAGAGGAACTGGATGTGTTTACAGCAGTTCCAGGCAGAGCAACACGGTGCCGGCCCCTCTTCTGCTCTGAAGCCTCACAGGAATGAGAGTGATGGTGATGTTCTGTTTTCTGGCTTTAGCAGAGCTCTGGGAGAGGCTGAGGTCATGTGACCGTTAACCGGGGTCAAATGTCAGCAGCTGCTGGTGATACGCTCGCAAAAAGGTGATAAAACCGCTCTACAACACATAAGTCTGCAGACTCCTGAGGTTCTGGGTTAGAGCAGGTCCCTCCCTTCGTGGGCTGGGGGGGGTCCTGTCTTTGTGACAGGGCTGGAGGACTCTTTTATCACACTTTTACCTGATGCTGACCATCAGAGTGGGGAAAGACTTCAGACATTTTCTCTTCAGATGTCCCTTCAAAGTAGAAAAATGTAAAGTACCACGGCTACTTTTTTGCTGCTATCTAAAAGTAGTCTTTTATAGCCAGTTGGAGACAAACAGATGGAAAAACAACAGCTCCAAAATATGATCTTATGTCAGAAAAGCAATATTGTTGAGTCCTGAACGTAAAACACTTGCTCGACTTTTTGTTCTGGGAGGAAGGTGTGATTAGTTTCTTCTTCTTCTGGCAGCAGTTTTTTATGGTGTCAGTACAGAGGATGTCCACACAGTAACCAGCACAAGAACGCTTTCTCTCCAATAATTTTATTCATAATTTTAATATAAACAGTTAATTGTTGAATAATTTACACACAGCAAGGTTTTTATTTTATATCATTGCAACATTTTCTTTACATGTCACTACTTGGCTCTCCTTTGAAAACATAGAAAAAATAAATTGTCAAGCGTTATTTTAGTCATGGCACATTTTGATCCTGTACAATATGCATTTATTTCTGTTGGTGTGTGAGTGTGGATGTTGATATCTGTGATACATAAAGATAATGGCACATTTGGATCCAGTGTGAGGGGGGGGGGGTCTCTGTGGGTCTGGACTGTACACACGCATCTCATCAGAGTAATGCAGAGACAACACATCCCAAAATCAGCACGTCAGCATATCCATGGTCACTAAAGAGGACAGTGATAAGGAGGTATCCTGCATGTCTACACAGCATTGTGGGGGGGGGGGGGGG